GGTCGCTGGTGTTTTTCCGGCCGGTCCGTCCTTTAAGTTGCGATCGGGGGCAGATTTATATTTGGTGGGATGGCGGCTGAGAAGAAGGGTCGGGGTCCATTTGAGAAGTTGGGGTTGTGTGAGGATGTGAGCCGAGTGGCTACGAAGATGGGTTACAGTTTGCCGACTCCGGTGCAGCGTAAGGTGATTCCGGTGATATTAAGTGGCATAGGAGATGTGGTAGCGAATGCGCGTACGGGTAGTGGTAAGACGGCGGCGTTTTTGTTGCCATTATTGCACCGGTTGGAGAGTCATAGCAAGGTGGTAGGAGCGCGTGGGTTGGTGGTGCAGCCGACGCGGGAATTGGCGATGCAATCTGGGTTGGTATTGCGGAAGATGTTGATGAAATTGGTCCAGACAAGTAGTAGTGAGTTGTTGAGAGTCTGCTATCTTATAGGTGGTATGTCTATGGCTAAGCAGTTTGAGCATTTGAGTAATAACCCGGATATCCTGATAGTGACACCGGGGCGTTTGGTACATCATATGGTGGAAGCAGACTATGAGTTGGGTCGTGTGTGTATGACTATATTTGATGAAGCGGATATGTTGTTTGAGATGGGTTTTGAGTCGGATATTAGTTATATTACGAGCAAGCTGACTTGGAACGAAAGACAAAGTGTGTTTCTCTCTGCCACTATGCCTGCCCAATTGGTTTCCTTCGCTCGCGGTCGGCTTTTCAACCCGCAATACGTGCAATTGGACAGTGAAAATTCACTTCCAGACACGTTGGCACTTGAGTTGTACTTTATACGTAGTCCTGACAAGACCGCGGCTTTGCTGTACTGGTTGTTCAACATCATGGAACCACAGACTCAAGCCATTGTCTTTTGCTCCACTGCTCATGTGGTCTCCTTCCTCGGTGAAATCTTGACCAGACATCATATCAAAGCCACACAACTTTGTGGACAACTTACCCAGTTTCAACGGCAAGAGGCTATGAAATCATTCACGAAGAAACAATCCAATATTCTACTAACCACCGACGTAGCCGCCCGAGGCCTTGATATCAACTCCCTACATTACGTCGTACACTACTCGTTCCCGGCCAGCGCTAAATTATTCATACACCGCTCAGGACGTACCGCCAGGAAAGGACAAATGGGCACATGCATTTCTTTTATAACCAAAGAAGAATTTCCTTACCTTATGGACCTGTTATTATTCTCCGGTAAGAAACTGAAAGTCGAAAATAAAACCGCCGATTCCATCACACAAATCGCATCGGAACTTGGTTTGCATTTTGACGATGAAAATCCTAATGAGATTGGGAAGGATCAGATGAAGAAGGATCTGGAGAAGGTAGTATCGCGGTCATCTCATGAGGGACTAGATATTGGCGGCTTCCCCGATCTCAATGAGTACCGGGAAATGGTGGCGACTGCCATTGTGGAAGACGACTATGTGAAACGCCTCATGGAGTCCATGGGCGGTGGCGAGATCATGTATATGAAACATAGACAACCAGCCAGTAAGCAGTCGCTACGACGCGGAGCTGAAGTTATGCAGATGCTTGGAGGTCCAAACTCCATAGCCGATTCCGTGCATCCGTTACTGACTCAGCGATCCAATGTCGACAACAGTGCCTCCAAGTTTATTACAACCTCTCCCGGTCGAGGACTCCCTGAAATTTTCGGTACCAAAAATGACCACATCAAAACTGACCAGATCAAAGTTAAGAAAGAAGAACAATCTGCCGCAAATGTGTTTCGAACTGACGAAATTATTGAACTCGACAAAGACCTGCTAAGGTCCTTCCGGCCCACTCGCGGAAAAGGTATTGGCGTGGCCAAAGCTGTCTTCATGGACATGAAATCCATGATGCAAAAAAGGCAGGATATATCTGAAGCGGCCGTCAAAGGGTTAAAAGCTTTGGAATCTAGCGATGAAGAGGAACCCTATAGGCATACAAATCAACCTCTTCCTAGTCACCCCGATGCGAATGATTATTCACATGGGGAAGATGTTGACCGGGAAGATGTTGATGGGGAAGATGTTGATGGGGAAGATGTTGATGGGGAAGATGTTGATGCAGATTCGAAGCTACTGAATCGGAGACCAGCAAAACCGCGAATGAGTAGAGCGGCTCGTCGGAAGCTTAAGGAGGGCTGTGCAAATGCTCATCGTACTTCATCGTTACGACAAAGGCAATTAGAGTCGATTAGCGATTTTGCATTGCAATCTGATAAGCGGGATGAAGCTACGGTTGCGCGTGAAATGGGGCTCTCATTGAATAGCGGAGTCGTTATGCAGAACGAGGCTTTTGGAATTATCGGGGACGACCAGGAATCCATGAAGAAGACGAAGAAGGTTATGAAGTGGAACGTCCGAAAGAAGACTTACGAGACCACCGACATCAATCGAGCGGGACAGAAGGTCAAGACCGATTCGAGCGCGAAAAGTATTGTCGAAAGCAAAGGCCTCTATAAACGATGGGCAGCCCAGTCCGATCGACGGATTCAAGCCGTTGGAGAACGTGAGGACGCGCACTTATCTCGGACCTTCTCGGGGAGGAGGCGCCCAGAGGTAGAGGCGGAGCCAACCGAGGTCATTCCCCTCCGAGAACTTACCAAGAATCAAGAGCTCGTCCGAAAGATAGAACAAAAACTGCCTTTAACAAACAGGGAACAGCGCAGGCGAAAGGCGCTGTTGAATCGACAAGCAAACCCAATAATCACTGGAACTACTAAGAATACGAGCACCTCCAAGAATACAAAAACCAAAAGCTCTTACAACGAAGGCGCTGGGCGCCTCACGCGGAAGCAACGAGCCAAGGGACAGAGATCCAGAGCACAGAGCCAACGAGTCTTCAGGGGCATGGTCCAGAAGCAGATGAAAAACCGCTCCAAAAAATAGCGCGCGTCCAGCACACGCGTGTGCACTCGTTGATGGTGACACGATTTTTGCGTACGATGTTCACGGCATGACTGATCTTTTTTACAGCCAACAAATAACACAATACATTATCAATGGGCGACTCTGTCGAGGCGAACGAGCAGTTGGGCGGGTCTTCAGACAAGTGTTCAGACCCGGCTCCGTCCGCACCGCCCGAAGCCGGTGAGAGCCCCGTTGGTTTAAAGTGCAGACCACTTAGGTCATCAACCGATGAGAATGATGTTAGATTCGCGGAGCAGCTTCAATGGATTAACAATGCAACGCAGACTAGTTTACTAGGCCTTAACGAACCGGCTAATGGTCAAGCGAATGACGAAGGAGGAATGTATGTAGACCAGTGTGACGATTGCCCGTCAGATAGCTGGAGGAAGCAGACGATGAAGCCAAATCAATCCCCGATCGCCCGACTCGCCATGGACCCACCCGCGATGGACCCATCCGCGATGGACCCATCCGCGATGGCCCCACCCGCAATGGATCAGCAACAGCGTTCCCAGGCGTTGGACTCGAGGCCGGTTGACAGGGCCCCTCGACGGGGTCAACTTCTTCACTCCGTTTCAGCGGTCGTGCCTGCTTCTTATCAGGACAGTAGCGGATATGATAAAAGGGCGAGGCAACCAAGATGCTTGAGGCATGAGGGTTGGCAAGAGGGTAAAACAGAGTGTAGACACCACAACGGTGGCCAGCCGGAGGTTTACCATCGGAGTTGCACGCTGCAGCCCAGTCTTCAGGTCGGGTCAAGTCTTCGGGACGGGATGAGCTTTTGGGAGGAGTCTTCATGCGAGCGTCCTTCTGACTTCCTACGTACAAACAACTGGAACGATGTCGACGAGAAGGAAGCCAGAAGCGATCATGCAGGGCAAGAGGTCGGTCGGTTGAACGCCAAGTATGCACCGCCGCCAACGCCGCGGGACGTAGACCCCTGCATGGTGCCCAAGTTCTACCTCCGTGTGTGGCTCGCTGTCGGTGAGATTTTGGTCTGCTGTTTGGGTACGGTGGTCGCTCTGGGTATTATTGGTTGCCCCTTAATCGTCGTAGCAATTTTGGAGCGCCAACGTCTGGCGAGTCTGAGCGTCCAAGTTTTTACCTCCCCGTGACAGACAGACAGCGCTCAGTCGACCGAACCACCACAAAGTCGCCCAGAGCTTTAGTGGTTGATCGGTCGGTTTCAGAGGTCGGCGGGTTCAGAGGTCGGCCGGTTTCAGAGGTCGGTCGGGTTCAGAGGTCGGTCAGTGAAGCCGGTCAGGTTCAGAGGTTAGTTGGTTCAGAGGTCGTCCGAGGTCGCCCAAGGTTCCCTTGGTGTGGTTGAAAGAAAAAGGTTTACCACCACCCGCTGTCGTCGACAGCTTCGGGTCTGGAGTTTGGGTGATCGTGTTGGTTATTGTTCCGGCTGGCGTTGTATGTGCGTTTGTTATCTTGGCGATAATCTTGGCCGCCGAAGCGAGTATTGCCGCCGCGTGGGTAGCGGCTGGAGCCGAAGCCCTTGGTGTTTGGTGCAGAGCAAGCCTTGCTGAGGTCGAGGAACCAGCTGGGTACTTCCTGATGTGCTTCTTCGAGTAGTCGGTGGAGGTCGCGTAGAATGGATCGGTTGGACTCGTTGACAAAAGAGGTAGCGAGTCCATTGTTACCAGCGCGGCCGGTACGTCCGATACGATGAACGTAGTCCTCAACATTGTGTGGTAGATCCAAGTTAATAACCCATGTGATGGAGTGGATATCCAGACCGCGCGCAGCCACATCAGTGGCTACCAAAATTGGCTTCTTACCGTTCTTGAACTGCTCTAGCGCTTGGCTACGCTCCGCCTGTGTGCGGTCACCATGGATACTGATTGCCTTTAAACTGTGGTCATTCAGGTACTCCTCAATCAAATCAGCCTTCCTCTTGGTCTCCACAAACACCAACACACGACCCTCAGCATCCTTCAACATCTGCAACAACCGCCTTGGCTTCTCAGTCTCCTCCGCATATGTAAATTTTTGCGTTATGAATTCAGACGTTGAACCCACCCGACCCACCGTCAAATAAATGTAGTCGCGCATAAACGATGCCGCCAACTGCTGAATTTCACGCGGGAATGTCGCCGAAAACATCGCCGTCTGACGATCCACCGGCATGTCACGACACGCCACGATGTCGTGGATCTGTGGTGCGAAACCCATATCCAACATACGGTCCGCCTCATCCAGTACCAAATAATTAATCTACAAGCACACACAAACACATCTTTGCACACACAAACACATCTTTGCACACACAAACACATCTTTGCACACACAAACACATCTTTGCACACATCTTTGCCGTACAAGGCGGGCTTACGCTAGCTAGTGAGACTCGGCCTCTTTCCATAAGATCGTTTAATCTTCCTGGAGTCGCAACGCAGATGTCGCAGCCTCTGCCCAGTTCAATTATTTGTTGTCGCACTTCAGCGCCACCATAAACAACCACGGTACGAACTCCAGTGTCGAAGGCGAACTTCCGGGACTCGGTGGCAATTTGGCAGGTGAGTTCTCTGGTGGGGGATAGGACGAGTGCTACAGGTTCACTCTGTTTGTCTCCATGACCATAAGTGCTCTTGGGTGGTCCGGAGCGCATCATTTTGATGATGATGGGGAAGAGGAATGCTGCAGTTTTACCAGAGCCTGTTTGCGCACAGGCCATGAGATCACGGTCGGCGAGTAGGATGGGTATAGCGTACTTTTGAACGGGTGTTGGCTTGTCGTATTGCACTCGTTCGATGTTTGCCATTAGCTTGGGCTCGATCGGCGTGCCTGGGTCCTTGAATGAACCCAGCGGCCGGATACCCTCAGTCTCCTTCCCACTAATCTCCACCTGAATGTTGTCGTACGAATCGAAGTTAATCCCCACCGTCTTCTCCTTCGTACTCGAAAACACCTCCCGCTCCTTCTCCGGAACCCAACGACGACCACCACGGGTAAACCACGTACCGTCTTCCTTCACACGTGCGCCACCACCGAAACGGTCACCACCACCGAAACGGTCACCACCTCCGAAACGGTCACTGCCTCCGAAACGGTCACTGCCTCCGAAACGCCCGTAACCTCCACCTCCGCCACCCACACGACCGCGACCAGACATGGCAAACACCTGACCTACATCGTCGCCCGCCAAGGCCGAGAACCGACCACCACGGTCACCACCACGGTCACCACCACGGTCACCACCACGCTCGCCACCACGCTCGCCACCACGGTCGCCCGACCGGTTTCCGCCGCCGTATCCGCCGCGCCCGCCGCGTGACTGCTGACTCCGTGGAGGCTGCGAAGGAACGTTCCAATTCAGTCGATCCGTCTTTTTGTCATCCATCTACAAACACATCCTCATCCTCAAACCTCTACCCCCCACACGACCGACACAACCAACACTCACCCACAGAAGTGTGTTTCTGGGAATAGACACACACGCGTGTTTCTGGAAATAGGTGATACACACACGTGTTTCTGTGAAACCCGTGGGTATCCTACATCCCCGAGAGGGCAATACCTCGCCAGGCAGAATTAGTGCCCATGCTCGTCCGTGGTGTTGTGTGTTGCCCTCCAATGTGTGGGTGTCCGTAAAGCGTGTGGGCCAGAGTGTGTGGTGGGGCCTTACTGAATTGGAGAACTTGTGCCAAAAAAA